CGAACGCCTGAGACTTCAGGAGGAGAAAATCAAGCCAGCGCTCTTCCAAGTGGCATGGGAGCTGGTCAAGGACGGCCCCTTGATGTTGCCACGACCTGGCCAGTGATCGCAGTCGATCTAGAATGTTAGACTCTATCTCGAGTTTCGAGTTCGGGAACCGATGGCCTGGGGGACAAGGAAAAGAAGCATCACGGGCGCACGTCAGGGAGCCACCTCCGACGCCTGAACAGCCAAACCAGCAACTCTCGACCTGAATGGCACCAAAGGGGCGCTTTGGAGATTACTCTGCACTTTGTCTAGTTTAGGTACGTCTTTTGGAGTTGAGATTGAAAAACTTCACTTCCGCTTCGGTTATCAGTTCTCCCTGCGGCTCGATGGTCCCTTGAGCATCCCGTACGATGAGGAGTGCCAGGATGTCGGGGGAAGCTCCCAGGTCATTCTCCATGAAATGATCGAGGAGGTGATGCCGTCTTAGTCCTTTCGGGTAAGTGATTGCTTTGGTGGGTACTTGTCTATCCAGAGTGGGCACAAAAGAGATTCGCAGAGATTCAGGGAAAGGGCGTGCTGGAGAGCAACGCGAGGTTTGAAGTTTACGTGCTTTAAACACGACGTGTGCAAAAATCGACTGTGCAACGGAGGGCTTCGTCCTCGGCAACCCGAAATCCTGAAGGGCTTTCTGCGGTGCAGGTCTTTGACCACTACGCCGAGCAGCGCAATTTCCAGGCCCATGCAGTAGTTGAAGCGCTTTCGGGGTGCTTGCTGCATCTTCAAGACTTCGGGATTTAGATCGATGGATGTTCTAGATGGCTTTGCGGCTTGAGGGCTCAGAGTGCAAGGAACTTTTGGGATCCGCCGCAAGGCGTTTGAGCCGTTTGAGACTTTCCGAGGACACGGTGCACAATGCCGTGGCAGAGTCTTTCCAAGGGCTGGAGGACGATGTGCGGAAGAAGGTGTCCTTCGGCCGGCACTTGAGTTCTCTCCAATGGGAGGACCTCCACTTCTCTCAAAATGCGATGGTATCTGAATGTATCTGAAGTGCAGTCATGTCAACGGCACATGCCGAAGAGCCCCCCATGTTCGCACTAGAAGATCCGAGGATAACGCAACTCACGAAGACACATCCAGGTGCCCTGGCGGTATTGAAGGTTTTAGATAGATGGAAGGGAGGGATTTGTGAATGGGTGCGGCCGGTAAGACGTTTGTAGCCTTCACCCTGTGCACTGTGCAGCCCAAAGCAATCAAGAGAACCCGGTGACCATGCTTTGCTCAATGTTAGAGTCCATATCATATGCCTCATATGCACGATAATTTTTGAAGCCAGCCCCAAAGCATCTGCTCTGCAAACCTGCTGGATCCATCAGTTCGTGATCATCCAAGTCTGAACGCTAAGAAGCCACGAAGCTGAGATGAGTAACCGATCCACCCCGCTAGCCCGAAGCTGGACGGCGTCTCCCAGTTCAGGTGCCTGTGAAGCGGCGACTGCAGCGCCGGGCACCAAGGTGAAGAAGCTCGAGGCGCTGGCAAAAACACAGCAACAAAAGATCCTGCAGAGGGCTCATCGCGTAACATGCTGTCACCGAGAGACTCGTCATCCTCTTGACGCCAGGGTATGAACATGAACATTGACTGACATGCTTTTCAGCGCTAGCACCGCTGCCAGGATGTGCCTTATGAACAATCATTGCCGCATGTTGCGGCATCGAATGGGTGCCCTACTGGAAACCACTATGTTAGGTGCCATCTTTGGCTCCTGTGTTGCGATGCCTTGTGTAATGTCCTTGCTTCTTCCTCCTTGAGCTGCCCGGGATGCCCTTGGCCTCCGCTCTTGTAAGATATTCGAACGGGTTCCATGGCAAATGACTCTCTAGATTCTGCGCATAGCGAGCTCAAAGTCTTGCATGCTGTTGCGGCATGTAAGAGTCCTAATGTCGTAGCATTCGAGAAGAGTTGTGGGGCTGGTGGGCAGCACACCCTGCACCTTGTACCCAGTACTGACGTGGGTCGAGATGTGTAGGCGCAGGAATGCGAAGCAATTCTTGTTGCCAACCTTGGAACTCTGGAGGCTTTCGTCAGACAATGGATGAAGGACAGCATGGACAGATCGTACAACGCGGTCAAGCAAAAGGAGCTCATGAGGGGCTGGCGAGTTTCATCGTGTGATGTTTCTTCCTCCAGGGCCGCCGTGCACAGGACATCTTCTCTGAGAAGAGGATGACGCTGCTGTTCAAGTGTTTGATTAGTCCTGCTGCGTGTTTGCACCCGAGGTGACACTGTGCGCTACCGTCAAGTAACACCTGTTCCAGCGTATCTTTGCCCTCTTCCCCCGAAGTTCCCCCTGCCTCCCCCTCCCAACTTCTCCGGCAGCTTTGACCGATGATACCCTTGATTTGGCTTCTGAGCTAAGGCTGAGTCCGAGTACACCTGCGTTCCCAGGGCATGCATACCTGACACGGTTGAGAGGCGCGGAGGGTTACATGCAGGGTTCGAGGTCCTGCGTGCAAAGTGCTGGGTAGCGTGTTGTGGATAGTGGTGTCAAGGGGACCCTAGTTGTCACAAGCGTGGTGTCTCCAACAACAACAACAACAAGAAAAGCAACAACAACACCAACAGCGCAAAGAACACAAATAACTCCAACAGTTTATGAGAGAGAACTACCTTGAAAAGCCTTCCTGGGGCAGCCAAGGATGATGGTGGGGACACTCCCAAAAAGACGCCAAATCCAACCAAACCGCCCGAAAATCATCGTGCTGCACGCATGAAGGAGAACTGCCATCCTGGTGCATAGCGCAGATCCATCCCCCGCCCCTCTCCACACGCACAAAGCCACTACAAGCAGGCCGCCGCGAAACTGGAAGTTTGTACGGGAGGCCGTGATGGAACTTCTGGGAAGGTGCCTCCGTGCATTCGCTTTGAAAGGGAAAGTGGGCTGAGTTTGGGAGAAGAGCTGTAAGCGTCGACTTGGGACTTGGGACAGCGGCCAGCTTGAAGGCCTGCAGGGTTTTCTTGGTTTGTTGGTCGCCGATTGCCCCGAAGAGAAAGCGCACTCTTGACGCATGCCACCTGCACGCTGAGTATCTTGATCAGCCGCCGTCAGCTATCCTTCCATGCACAGTGGAGATGGATTCTGCAGAATTGCAAGTATTGCTTCGCAAACTGTTCAGTTGGAGAAGCTGCAATACCACCTAGCCAGACATTGTGGCACTGCGCTGCACCAGAACACCTCCAGCAATGCATGAGTTTGTATCAATATCTGCTTGAAGAGAGAGTGGCCGTAATTACCTGCAAAGGTGGGCTTTCAGGGGTTTACAGGGGGCCATAGGGCAGGACCTGCCGCAGGTCCATTGATTTCGTAGGGACTCTGCGCTGTGCAAGCTCCCTTGTGTGACCGTGCCCGCGTTGCCCTGAACCCTGAACCCTAAACCCTAAACCCTATGGACCAATGGACAATCAAGGTAGTGGCTGAGCACCCCGAACTCCCAAACCATCACGCAGCCAAAGCCGCGAATAACAATCCGAGATGCGCTTATGTTCAGTTGAAGTCCGCCCATCTGCAAGGTGGCAGCAAAACTCCAAGAAATGAGAAGGCCGCACGTGGTCGACGACCACACTGTGGGAGCGCTGAGTCAGATGCCTCTTTGTTGTTTTTTTGGTAGGGGTTGGGGGCTGCCGGGGGGGGGGGGGGTTCCGGGGGGCCGGCTTGGTTGCTGAATCACTGCTGAATGAACCAGCAAGCGCGTCACGTTGCAAGCGCTGCACCGTGATACCACGTAGAAGTAACATGAGGGGGCGGTCTGGGACTGGGAGATGCACAGACATAGACTCCAGGTGGAGATTGACATGGTCCATCTGACATGACGAGGCTGGGGAGCGACGGGGCGCAAGATGTTGGTGGCTAACAAGCTTTGCATTCACTTCTGTACGATGGTTCTCAAGGAAGTACTGGCCATCCCCTGCGAACAGGGGACGATTGTGTTTCGAAAGGTGTGTAGGAAGGGCAAAGTATCCTGACCGACGGCATGTGCCGTGTTGAAGTCTGTAGCTGATAGTCGCATAGTCAGAGGACAGCCTTCTGCCATGCGAGAGATGGAAGAGTCACAACATACGACGGCGAGTGTGTGTGTGTGTGTGTGTGTGTGTGTTTTGTGCGCCGGTGCTGTAGTGTATGTCTCAATCGGTGAAATGAAGAAGTAAGCAATGGCTTTATCAGAATGCCGGCATTGAGACTCGGACAGGATTACAAGGTTTCAGTTGTGCAGACGATTGCTTTTGCACAGTCTTTCGATCCTGACGCGTGTGCAGGACGACCTGCTGGCGGACGCGAGACGGAGGGCAAATAGTGTGCTTGTGGTGCGCTGTCACAGTACGGCCGGCACAGGGCCTTCAATGCTTTCACTTCCACACTAAGCGATGAACCAGAGCTGCTGGAATCGCTGGAAGGACGTAGGACACTCAGTTGGATCCAAGCACAAGGCTTGTGACCTGCGACGGTTTGACTTCGATTTCGTAGGTGAGGTTAGCCTCAAACAGACCAGTGACGCGAGAACACGAGACAAAAACATGGCGTCGGCATGTGACTTGGAAGGATAGCTTGGAGAATCCTAGAAGGGTTCATTGCGATCGCCACATGTGGCACACTACAACTCACTCTACGTCTACGCATTCGAGATGTGTGGGCTGTGTGGGTGCCGGGTTGAGGGGAGCTCCTCGGAAGTTGGCGATTTCACCGATGTGATGACTGACAGGGCCCAGTACTCCTTAGTGTAGTCGGTAGTCGGTAGGGCCTACAGACCTACCAGAAGCCTCTGTATGCTTCAGGCTGCTTCAGGGGGTGTCATGGCAAGGAGCTTGCAAGCAAGTATTGCTATTGCAGTTCCATCATGATGGACCGGTGGTTCCTTGCATCGTCATTGTCAGCCTTGCGCCGGTACATAGCCAAGTAGCCGCTTTGCAGTTCCATTCGAGACCGCATAAGGAAGTAGGCCACTCCAAACAGCCAGCAGGTTGTGCTGAGTGCCAGGGTGCCCGTGCAGCCTGTGGCAGTTCGGACAGATCAGGAGACCAGTTTGCTTAGCCTGTTGTTCGTCAATGACACCCGCGGTCGTGCATCTCTTTCCGATCGCTGTGTCTTTGGTCTTTGGCGATCACTGCTCTGCATCTCGCGATGGTGCACTTTGTCGGTGGTGGAAGCTGATGTCTCAGCTGTTCAACCTGTCCAAGCGTTGGTTGCGGGGATGTGCTTGCGAGACTGCTGAGTAGTATGCTTCTTCAGGAAGCAGCTTGTACGTAACTTGTAGCCCCTCGTGTGTGCCATAATATGCACGTCTCAGTTTCTACACACTCGCGCAGCGGTCTCGTGAGATGCCCAGATGCTCAAAGTCACCAAGTTTGAGATGCAAAGATGGCAACGTTGCGCTGTTTCGGTCGCAAGGGTTCCAATTTAGTTTGCCTCTTCAAACGAGAGGTCTTTGCCACATCGATCGGCCTTGTGCCCGTGCTGTTGACCAAGTGGTCGTACCTTGAACCGTGCGTATAGCAACGGCCAAGCGCGCACGCATCCCCCACATTTTCCGACACGCCTGCTTGCAAACCACAAAGACGAACATCAGTTCAAATTCTGCAAGCGCTAGGGCCCTGAACGCTCGAGAAAGCAACCAGCTTGCGAATCCGCAGGGGGCAAACCCAAGAGCAGCGTAAACCCAAAGCGCCCTTTAAGCTACAAGTTGCAAGTGCTCCGAACACAGCCCTAATTAAGACTCTTGAGCATCCTGCCTACCCAGCCCTTTGCACCTCAAAGGGGGTCCAAAACCCCCCCAAGAAAGCGCAGCACGGAGGAGGCAGCTGGAGGCGACTGGTCGACTTGGTGGCCCGGGCCTTGCTCGTGGGGACCACTTAAACCAAGGCCACTTTTCCGCTCTCCATTGTGCGTTATGTCGTTTCGCGAAGGGAGGTCTTGATTGTGCGGGCGTTTCTGTGTGTGCGTCCGTGCGTGCGTGCGTGTGGCTCAGGTGGCACAGCCTCGTGGGCGAGGGCGATGTGCGCCTCCAGACACGATGGGTGAATCAGGGTTTGCAGTGACATGTCATCCTTTGCTGATCCACAGCTTCAATGACCTAAATACCGCGCTGGTTCTCGGGAAGATGCTGGTGCAGCCAGTCAAGGAATCAAGGTCATTTACTGTTTAAGCATCCAGCATCCACAAAAAGAATCTGAAGAATTGGTTGACCTGTAGACTTCCATCTTCGACTGCATGTCGAGAAAAGGTCATTGTCTTGGACCACCTGCGCACGTTGGACAGGCCGAGACCTCATTCCCCTCCACAAGCCATTGCTGAAGTGGTCCTTGTGCAAAAGTTCTTTCACTGGTTCTGCTTCAGTGTAACGTTGGAGCACCGGAATTTCCATCCACGAAATCCAAGCCCTGCTGTGTCCTGAGCCTGAACGCTGGCGCCGAGTCCAGTTACTCTGCCCGGCGAGAGCTCGCTCCACTTAGCTGGCAAGGCCAGCATCGGCACCATGAAGCGTGGGTTGTTGAGTTGATTTTCAAAGTGTTTTCGCTGCCGGGCTTGGAGGAGTTTTGGTAGACTCTGACTCTGTCAGGGCCGAAAGTGGTGTAAACATGGTTCTCCCGTAAATCCGAGAGCCTGGTCAGTTCAAGCTCCTGGGCCCTGGCCCAGGCAGCTCGCTCGCTTCGCGAGGCCCAACTTTTTTCGGCCTGTTTACTGCAGTTTGTTGTGCACAGAGGGCCAAAGAAAGGCAGTCGTGTGTAATCCTCAGGGGGAGCGGCGTACTGTGATCACATTGGCGGGCTCCTCCTTCCATAGCGACCTCCCTCCTCTGCTGCGACATGTGCTTCAGCGCTTCAGGCTTTGCGACAAGGTTCACCAGAAGGCGCCTTCGAGGCCAAATCGTTTGTTTGACTCAGTGTGTTAGGTGCTCCGAGGCCGGGCGCGAACTCCCAGCTTTTCTTTCTCCTTTAGCACCTTTGCCTCCGCAATCCTCCACATGCCGCGGCGTGAAGGTGTGTGAATCCTTGGCTGACGACATTCTGGACCCGGCGTCCTGGCAGCAACAGCACGCCAAGACTGGGCTTGCGCTGCACCATCAAGCCCTATACCGTGAGGATTATAGTACATTATGTCTGGCCTGCAGAAGCCACCATGGGTCGGGTAGGACGCCTGATGTAAGCTGCAGTCTACGAACCCTACTCAGGCCCTGACAGAACCACCCCTCTCCGGTGTATGGATCCGACTTGAAGTGCTCCAGTAGTACACCTGACTACTTGCATTCTTGAATCACCACGGTCTCGTTATCGCGAGCGGTGTAACGGGTCGCAGTCGGGAATGTGTATTGTGTATACATGTGTATACGGCAGCAGAGAGGAGCGTTTGGTTTCTTTTACCCTATTGTAACTCGAATGCGTTAAGCCCAAACCAAAGTGTGGAGGAAACTACAACTCCGCGAGGGAGAGCGAGACACCCAAACTGACGATCAACCAAGTAGCCCCAGACGTAAAATGCACAGGCACTGCGAGCTTGCTCAGCTGCTGTCCATGTCTAGCCACTCGAAGCGACCCCATTGAAGTCATCAGCCACTTGGAGCCCTGATGCAGCGAGCATGGGAGTAGCATCGTAGAAGTCTGAGGTCTATGTCATCCTGAGTCCTATCACAGCAAAGAATCCCAGTGCCGAGGTCCCCTATCCAGCGGTGGGCCGGCAGTACACTGCCTCCTGTCGCAAGAAGTGCAAAAGTTTCCGTTCGAGTCTGTAGATGTAGAGTCAAACGTAAGGTATTCTCGGGACCTTTGTAGCGTAGCCGTAGCTTTTGTGCTGGGTGCAAGAGCTGTGCTGCGTTGGGGTACGGGCACATTCATCGCAACCTTCTTCGTTCAGAATGCCCCACGGTGAGACGGTGAGTGGTTCAAATGCAGATGGAGGAAAAGGAGGGTAATGGCCAACTCCGGCCTTGAATGCTTTCTACTAGATGCTTGGGCTGTGCTTGGGCCAGGTACAAGTTGGAGCTTCGAACACCAAACAAACCGAAAAGCGATGAATTCGACTCCCAGGTTCAATCCCTGCCTTCCACCTTGATTCGCCGCGAGGAGAGTGTCGGCACCCCAGCTTTCAATCGTTGAGAGTGGTTCATTGGGGGGGAAGTATGTGGAGACGCCTGTGCCCCAGACTCTGCTGTGCTGCATGAAGCAAGTACTTGCACTGTTCCCCCCTTCAGTTATACAACACGGCAATGAACGGCAGTGTAGGAGGAGAGGATCATGTAGCGTGCGCCCAGCAAAGCATGCATCCATTCAGGTCGAGAGCGATGTGATTGGAGAGCTACGACGCTTGACTGCCGTTGCGAAATACGATTCGCTTATTATTGCTTTTTTGCTACCAGATGTCCTGGAAAATTGACCGTATGGCTGGGGTGGGTAGGGCCGGGGGGTGGGGGAAAGGGTTGGGAGGGGGGGGGGGAATTCTGGAGGCAATAAAAGTTTCAGGTTCCACACCCTCACCCACACTGAGGCCCTGGCAGCATGGTCAGCATCCTTGCTCGCGGCGCTGAGAGTCCTGGACGGGTGGAGGCTCACCAGGATGCGTTGTAGAGCTTCAGGTTCAAGGGTGTTAGGTCATACGGTTATGCAACATCGAAAAGAAGGAGGATACAGGGCTTGAGGCTTCATTGAAAGTGAGGCTTTCGGCTTTGTGCCCTTTCAAGGTGGCTTTGCCGACTGCATCTTGGGCCCCGGAATGGTTGCGTGCATCAGCGTCTGATTCCGCCCGCTGAATTGGATAGATTTTGCCATTATTGCCCAAGCAACAAAAGCTGAAGTTGTTGGAGATGCCAAGGCTTCTGCAGCTGGCTAAGCTCTGCTAAGCGATGCCCACGACGTCCGCTACACATCTCGCGACATGCAAAGTCCAAACGTGGAAAAGCCCGAAAGCTTTAGCCGGCCAACCTTATTTCTTAGCAAAAACACCTCAACTCCTAAACTTCTCGTGAACCCTAAGCCCTGAGCCCTAAACTCCTGAGCCCTTTACACACCCTAGGCTCTAGACTCCTCAACCCTGACAAACCCTCCACAGGCCCAAAGTTTGAGGTGACCCCCGCAGCCCAGCTCGGCCATGGTCGGATTCCTCAAAGCCGAAGCTGGTCTCCTGGAGTATCTTGGAGGTTCACTTCAGAGGCTCCCTTGTCCCTCAACCCTATGATAAACCCTAAACCTCTAGGAGTTTAGGGTTTAGGGTTTTGGGGGCAAAGCCCCTAAAGACTCAGGTCTGATACCCTCAGCTGCGTGTTGGACTCTCAAGCCACTGTTATGGTTTGCATCTGAACGCACCCTACAACAAAAAAGGAGCCAAACCGGGACCCCCCAAAAAGGGACCATCGCGCATGCCAGTCTCGGCCAGTCCGAGGCATGCGACTTCGTCCGAGGCCTGGTGTGTCCGTTGTCGGAGTAAAAGGGGATTTGGTCCAGTAGGAACGTCCTCGGTAGCGTGGCACATCCCTGATGTTGAGGACAAAGCTGGGCTTTTGCTAGTGCATTACCAAGGTCATGCTCGGGACGACTCTGACAGAAGGGCTCTTAGTTGTTTTTTTGGGGGAATCTGCCCTCAGATGCCGGGGAGACTTCAACGAGCAACTCTACAGGATGCACCAACAAGACAAGACTCCACACGTGTGTGTTTCAAGGGTGCCCAGAAGGCCTGCAATGTTGCGGAGTATTTGCTGCATTGGTGGAAGAATGATGGTTTTGCAAGTGGGCTTGGAGTTCCTTTGTTGTAGTAGGGTAGAATCGGGCTACCTAAAGTGGAAACTTATTAGACACAAAAATCTCGGCTGAGCTCGAAATGAAGGGTTTCCCGCCGCTGCTGCCACACCTACACCGGCCGCCGAGCCCGGCTCTCGGCGAAGAAGAGCAGTAAGGCTCAGTAAGGCATGTCGACAACTTGGCTGGGGACATTGTTGGGAGGTGGTGCTTTGAGACGGAGGCCTTGCATGGCCTTTCTGATGTTCAAGGGTTTGAAGCTTGATTGCCAGCATGCCAAACGTGAGAATGCGCGAAGCTCAGAAGCTCCCTCCAATCTCGAAGACGGGACAACGAGCGCGTGATCGCGAGATAGCAGCCTGTATGGTGGGAACCGGCGTTGCCAAGCCATCTTGGGAATGTGTACGTAATGTGCATGTCGTGAACCAAGTTTGCTTCCTCCCCATCACAAAGCAGACGGCTTCGGCTCAGCAGGTTGGGTTCACAACGGAACTTTTCAGGGGTGTAGCTGCTGTACAGGGTGAAGCAAGGCCAGGCCATTCGGAGCCATGAGCATAGACCAAGAAGCTTCAACGAAACACAAGAATGCCTGGCTTCAATCGTGCAGGCAGCGCTCAATGACAAACCCAATCTGAACCTCTCCTCAATATCAAACAAGCCCTTCTAAGCCCCTGATACTCACAATCCAGGAAGGGGTGACCCCCTTTCTCTCTCCCCCTCTCCTTCCCAGACAGCACCTCGACCTCGGTCTGACCACTGGAAGGACTGGCCTCGTCTTTCTGGATCGACTGCTCCAGATTGGAGGGCTTCAGTGGGGGGCCTTAGCTTTCCCTGATCCCAGGTGGATTGAAACTGCGAGGGTTTAGGGATGCAATGTTTGGTCCCCATACAGGCATGTAGAGATTCCAACGACTATTTTTGGAGAGGGCGAATAGCCCATCCCAGGGGGTTCGCCGGAGAAGCGGGGGGGGGGGGGGGGGTCGGAGGTCCCCTTCCCAGCACGTGAGTACCTTCTCAAATCGAAAGCCCGAAATGGGGGGAGGGGGGTGGGTGCTTTGAGGTCGGCATCGAGAATCTCTTACGGCATGCACAGAAGCGCAACAGGCAACGCAACTGCACTGACCTCAAGGTCTCAGGAGAGAACCAGCCAAGAGCACTGATGAGTCACTGATGAGCTGAAAGGCTCACCAGGCAGAATAATGCCGCTCGATTCTGACGGCAGACATGACATGGCCGGTTGTATCTTGCGCCATAACCAGACATGATCCTGTCCATCTCGGCCCCAAACATAGCTGTCTTAGTTGTAACTATTTTTTGCTTGTGGTATTTTTTTTGCCTAGCCGTGACTTTTACTACCTGGACTGTTGGCACACGCAATTTTTATGAGGGAATTGGGGCTTTGGTTTGCACCCTAAACCCGAAACCCTTAACCCTTAGCCCTTAAACCCTTAAACCCTTAAACCCTTAAGCCCTTAAACCCTTAAACCCTTAAACCCTTAAACCCTTAAACCCTTAAACCCTTAAACCCTTAAACCCTTAAACCCTTAAACCCTTAAACCCTTAAACCCTTAAACCTAAACCCTAAACCTAAACCCTAGAGCCTAAACCCTAAGCCCTAAGCCTTTGAAGCCTTACACCCTCAGCCTCCCGGAAGCCCTAAGGGATAAGGCCTAAGCGCGAGAAGCCCCGCAAGACTGTAATTTGCAAGACTTGAAGCCTGTAACGGGCTGCACATGCTGTAGTTCACAGCATTCGCAGTTTCAGGCCGAAAAAAGTTATAGACAAGCAAGGGTTTTGGCACCCCTCCTCGGGAAACGGCAAGCAAAAAGTTACTAGCAAGCAAAGAAAGAAGTTACAAGCAAGTAAATGTAGCAAAAACACAGAAAGTTACAAGTAAGCAAAGAAAAGTTTACAACTAAGCGTGCTTCCCCAAAAAAGGGATGGACCAATCTTGACCCCAAACGTGGAAGGCACCCAAGGTCAGGCTTGCCTTGACAGAGCCTGGAACCCCCCGCCAGGTCTTATTACTGGCACCATCAAGTGCTTTCTGGCCGGGACCTCTCGGTTGTGTCAAATTGCGGGGGCCGCCGTTCATGTTATTCATGCGGGCGAAGTACTGTAGTGAATCCCCAGCTACTGGTACCAGCCTCGCAAAACCCTCCTCAGCTCCTCAGCCGAACTCCCCCACTCATCAAACAAAGGGCCAAGGGTTCTCTGACTTCGAGGAGGGGAAATACGTGGTTTCTATGGGAACATGTGACTCCGTGGGCCGAGGAAGAATAAGCAATCAGCTCCCTTAAAAGGGATTCAAAATGTTTCACAGTTCCTAGGAGTTCGTCCCTGCTCCATTGCCCCAGGAGTTTGTCCCTTCGCCAAGAACCCAAACTCTCGTTGCCATGCCGAGATGAAGCTTGGCTTCAAGATGAAGAAGATAATGGATCGCATGCCGCAAGAGACCAAGCTTGTCTGAGCGCAAGGATGTCGTAACCACAAAATTTTTAATGCTGATCAGTAGGCAGCGGATGTTGAAAGAATATGACCAAGCACAGCAGCACATACTCTCTGCTTTTATGCTTGGTGAAACCACTAATTAGAAAAGGAAGTTGCACAGCATCCTACCAGCGCCGTTCTCCAGGGAGGTGAACGATGTCCCAAATTCCTGCAGGATACGCAGCCCTCTCTGTAGCACGCTGTCAGGCCGACAAGTAGGCAGTCGGCGATTCTGGCATGCTCAGGCTGGACACAACCTGCCGCGGGATGTATTTCGCGCAGCACTTACCAGAGCTTGTCTGGCTGTTTCTGGCGTGTGCCCGGAGCTGTTGAAGGTGCACTTTGGGTTGTATTGTTCATCGAAGTATGTAGCTATTCTTTGTGTCTGGAAAAGTGTGCACGAGAAGGAATAACTCATAAAAGCGATAATGGACTATGTAGCTATGTAGGTTGCCCGTCGTCGACATGCCCCTAGCGCAGCAGATGCATTGAAAACCCCAGCCCCTAACTGGATAAACCCTAAACCCTAAACCCTACTCAGATACTGGACCGACAGAAGCGACAGTGGTGGAAATGCTGTCGGCAGCTGATGCCTGCGATGTGGCCATGTGGGGCCCTTGAGGGGATGGCAGTGTAGGGATTGAAGCCTCGGTTGAAGCGCTCGGGGAGGGGTAGAGGGTAGGGGTTTAGGGTTTAGAGTTTAGGGTTTGGGGTTTAGGGTTTAGGGTTCAGGGTTTAGGGCTTAGGGCTTAGGGGTTTAGGGTTTAGGGGGTTTAGGGGGTCTAGAGTTTAGGGTTCAAGGATGCCTGGTTTCCGCAGATGCTTGTGAGGATATAAACGCCCAGAAGATGCAGGGCAGAGAAGATGCAGGGAAGAGGAATCTCAGATCAGGCTGCGAGCCCCCTTAGATTGGAATACTAAACGCGCAAAGCCCTAGTCCGAGTCATGTCCACATTGCATCCCGGGCTGGGCAACCTGCTCTTGCTCTAAACATGCACCCTGAAACCATGCCCGCAGGAGGACATGTCTCCGCCCCAAGGCTTCAAGTGGAAACCTCCAAAGCCCACGATAAACTCTACCGACGTCCTCGACTGCCAGGCATTGAAGTCCAACCCACTGGCTGGCCTGGGCCCCTGGGCCCTCGCTTTCAATTCTTATGCCTGAATCTGAATGGCATGGGGATTAGGCTGTTTTTATGTTTTGGTGCTGCGTCTGGGGGTCTTTGAAACTCGGCCACATACCCAACCCTCGGACATCGACTCAAGACCTTCCAGGCCTACGGTTCCCAGCTATTTAGGGCTTAGGGCTTTAGGGTATAGGGTTTAGGGTAGCCTTTGCTGGAGGTACTCACAGCGCAATGAGTTCGGAGTTTCACTGCCTTTTAACAACGAGGATGCGCGGTCCTCAGAGAGAGTTTGAGCGGTGGAGGGTATTCAGGTCTCCCCAGGCTCTTCGGCTATTCGGGGGGTTTGCGACAATGGGTGTACCCTTTTTGGGGGTCCCTTCTAGGGGACTCTAGTCTATTTGGGTGGAAAAGGGGTATGTTGGGAAATGCCATGTGGGTCATGGGGATGCAGGGCTTGTGTGCTGCAACCCTGCAGACGCAGATGTGCTTCCGGGAGAAGACCTCCGAGGATCACAACTGCGGCTTGGTTGAAAGAAGTGGGATCTGTGTTTTTGTATAACGCACCCTTAAGGCCCATAGCTCCCGATAAGGCTAAAAAAGGTTCCAGACTTCACAACTCGTTGTAGCTCGCCCATGCCCGGTTGGTCAAAGAGTTGCCCCTCTGGCAATACTTGGAGCGCAAAACACTGAACTGAAAACCCGATGACTCGCAGAGTCAGTGGACCCCATTCGTTTTCTGGATTACGCCCTCTGTGTATGGATGCCACATTCTTCTGGCTTTGGGCTCTAGGACTTACGAGTGGAGAATGGGGAAGACATAGGTCTCCATGCAGGTCCACTCGTGTACTGCGACAACGTCAAGGACTGGCAGATGGCATTCATGCCGTCTTTGATGCTGTTAATGAGCTGTGGCGCGCACCGGCGCGCCAAGTTCTTTGGCTGCCCGATTTCCAGTGGCTTCCACAGCCCTGGTGAGCTTGTGCAGCGTGTCTGTACATCTTATCACACCACGATGTTTCTAGCACCTGCACGACTTTCCAGTCCCGGGGCTCATCCACAAGAGGCAACAAATCCTACGGTATAACATGATGCGCAGTACGAAATACGAGGGTTTCCATGATGCTCTTTCTCAGGTGCAGTCTGCAAAAGCAGCTCGAAAAGCCAGTAAGCGGAGTGTCCCCTAAGAGACCCCAAAAGCTCACGTAACCCCGGCATTCCGTGATGTACCCGACCTACGGTCAGCGACCCCGGACTGCAGAAAGTTCCTGGTTCTTATTGGCGAATGCTTTGACATCGTTTCGTTTCAATTGAACGCGACTGCCTTCAGGAGAACTGCCGCCACCTCAGCTGTGCAGCTTTCTGGTGGTTCTGTATTGCTGTACATATAGAAATCTTGGTACAGCTTCCAGCTCCTCAGGGTTCGTTTACAAGCTTGGACTGCCCAGATGCCAAAACCTGATGGGTCTTAGTTTCACATCCCAAGGTGTGACCATCGGCGAAATGGGGAAGGATGCCAGCTGGCTCGTGCCCCCGAAGCCCAAGGAGCTGCGTAGACGAATTGCTGAGCTGGGGGGGGGAGTTCTGCTCTGATCTCTAGTCCGCTTCGCTTCCACGCTTTGTTCGTCGCACACCCACGCAACCCATCCCCAACAGGGCTACCAACAGCAACACGACGCGAGAAGAACTGGGGCAACCCCTCTTGTGCCCTGGACCCTGCACCCGTCTTGACCCTAAACTTAAACCTCAAAGCCTCTAGAGTTGACAGGGCAAGCTCTCCATGCTGGACAAGGTGAAGGGCTTCCTGGGCAGCATGCACATGCCTTCGGTGAATGTTCCGGCCTCAGCAGTTCGAGCTTCACGTGCCTCCATGGAGCCCTTTCCCTCTCGCACTTGGAATTTTTGCGGCACGATGTGCGCGGGGGAAACGACGAGCCCAGAAATCCAACGCCGAGCAGCCGGAGATTCGAGCAAGAGCGCTGGCTGTGTCCTGGAGGGACCTTGCGAAAAACACGGATGTGTGGAGCCACCGAGGTCTTCCACTTATCTATGCCGCCTGAGTTGCTGCTAACTCCCCAGCAGGCGGGGGCTGAAACTGTTTGTTGCGGAATTCAGGGCTCAGTGGGTTGCTCGGTGTCAACGAGTTCAGGGATGGGTTGCGTTGGGGCAGGGAAGCCTTTTGGAGGTTCGGGTGGTTTGGGCCTTCTTTTCACCTAGTTGTCGCCTAGGCTCGTGGGGGGCTCTGGCCGTTGCACCGTTCTGTGCAGACTCTGTCAGAGCATGTCAGAGCTAAACTCATTTTCCGTGAGACCTCCAAGTTTGAATATCACGTTCGGTTGTTGTAACCACTGTACTCACATGTCGGACCCAAGACTACCGCTCTTTGGGTTTCTTTGTCCATTGCATCTCAAATGGTCAAACTTAAACCCTGGGAGTTCTACTGAACATCAGGGATAGGCCGAAACGGCTCAGCGGAATACCCCGAGTCTTGTGAGCCTTCCGAAGCCTAGAGTCTAACTGCTTTCCGTGACGCTGAGCTGCCATTTACTCATGGAGGTCGGCGTTCTGCACATGTCTGAAGCCCAATGGAACCGAGGCGCGAAGCTTGACACCAAGAAGACGCGCGGACTTCCTGTAGCAAACCTCGAGCCGTGAGCGAGATCTGCCGTGAGTGCGCGGTGGTCATAAAGGCCCCGACATGCTCTTCAAGGGCTAACGGCGGGCAGGTAGGTAGCATCGGCGCCCCCCCCCCCGTGTTCCGAAAGCACAAGTCCAAAGGTGAGTTGTTTATCTGCTTTCGGCTTTCTGATTCGGCGAGCCCGTGCGGATGCCAGAGAGCGCCGAAAAGCTGCGTGCAGCGCCTTGCCGCATGTCCCAACTCGGCAGGGTCATCGCTTGGAAAGGTTTTGAGGGCTTTCAAGATATCCGTAGACGTCTTGGAGCCTGCATAGGACTCGGAGCGCGTCGGAAATGCTGGTTCCCCAAGTACAGCATGACCTGTGCCAGCACCTCCGGTCTAGTGATTTTTCCGACCGTCCCCAATAAAGATCCTCCAAAAATTTGAATGAAGGCTTCGAGACTCTTGTGCTTGCTTGGGCATGTGTAACAAAAGCTAGCTCCTTGGAGCTTGCGAGAGTTGTCGTTTACAAACCTTTCTCTCCGCTGCCCGGGCCTTAACTGGTATGAACATCAAGTAGTTAATGGGCTGCGACCCCCCTCAAAGATTGATTGACCAATCTTTGGTCATCCTGAGCTGGTTGCGCTTGCCGCGTGCCCCCTAAACCCTAAACCCTAAACCCTAAACCCTAAACCCTAAACCCTAAACCCTAAACCCTAAACCCTAAACCCTAAACCCTAAACCCTAAACCCTAAACCCTAAACCCTAAACCCTAAACCCTAAACCCTAAACCCTACGCCGGCGTGTGGCTAGCTTTTGTAGCCCAAATCTCAAGTGATCTGAGACAGCCGAATACCGAAATGCCTCGTCAGGTCTTCACAGAGCAGGCGATGCGCATGCCCGGTTACGTCTCGGACGAAGGCAGCGAATTCCAGGTTTGAAGCAGACGCTCTCAGGCTTAGAGCCATTGTGTGGGATTTGAGATGTGTAAACAAGGAATCGCAGCACCGATTCTCGTTTGACCCAATACTAGTCCTGCGAATAACGAAGCGTCAAGATACCTACAGGGTTCCAAGGCATAGCTGGGGTTGAGCAACGAATGCGAAAGCAACGTGGTGAAGTCAGAAGGCAAGCAACAAATCAGAACAGTACGTTCTGAAAACATGGGCATGCGTGAGACGAAATCAGAAAGCGGACAGCAGAAAAGCCGAAAGCAAAAGGAAGACTGGTGATCCTGAAGTAGGGTCAGTAGAGCCACAACTCCCCCACTTCTGACCACGCTTGGTTGTGACTTGCCTTCTTGAGCAGTGCCAGGTGCGAGTGCCCCGCTTCAATCTCAGAGGGTTTGGGGTTTAGGGTTTAGGGTTTAGGGTTGTTTAGGGTTTAGGGTTTAGGTTTTAGGGTTTAGGGTTTAGGTTTAGGGTTTAGGGTTTAGGAAGGCGGCTTCCAAGAAATTCCAGACGCTGTGCATCACCTTGTTCCCGTACTAGGGATGGCAAGCTGAACAAAGAGATCCCGAGGACCTCTGCGGCGGGATTGAAGGGCTGGATCTCCAGCGAAGCATACAATGGTCGAGTCCTGAGTAGATAGGGCGGGGGGAGGGGAGGAATGCCTTTCAGAAGCATGTTGGTTTGGAAGCTATGATCATCTTTGGCTCTCCTGGGCAAAGGCACCACAAGGACGAGATAAAGCGTTAGAGTCGTTGGTGCTGGGGCTCGGGAGCCATGGAAGCCTATCCCTAGCTCTTGATACCTTCACCCTAGGTTGGCCTCCTTGTGGATATGACCTACTGTCCCAGCTTCGGCAGACGCCTGACCTTGAAGCTGCTTCGACATGCTCGTTTGTGCACTAGTGCAGGCGTGACCCTTGGGTGCCTTTGCTGGACGCATTGGCATGTGACTTCAGGTTATAGAGGCATAGAAGTAGAAGCAGAACCGGATGATGAATGTGTTCTCGGTGCACATGTGCCCTCACCCGCAGCTTGTCTGGCAGGGCTACAGGAATCCTGCCTCTTTATGTACGTCCGCATGACGAAGTCTGCGGGTCCAAAGTAGCTTCGCTTGAAGTGATATGGGAGCTTGCCAGGGCCACAAGCAAGAGGCCGACCTCGACCCAGCCTTGGCGCGGGTTGCGGATCTGCAGAAGCCCAACGTCTTCACCGCAGAGCTCAAGTTCCCTATGTATGTTGTCCCGCTGCAAATCTTCATGGGAATGACCGAGGTGAAGCCCTTCGAAGTTCTCATGCAGGAACAGGTGCTGGTCAAGTACCAGCCACACATGGGCGACTTGCATTGCAGTTGGAGCATTTTTGGGATGTCTTTGTTGCGCGCGCTCATGCTGCGAGCTCTTTGTCAGGTGATGCCATTTTCGTTTCACACCAGTGGGCCGGGCGGAACCACCCCGATCCACATTTTCGGCAGTTACGAGTCTTGCAGGGCGCCCTGGCAAATCTCACGAGGAGCCGGTGGCAATCGTTGGTTGGTGCTTGTACTTGCTTGTTTTCCCCAAATGCGCTGTTCCTGGTGCATAAACAACAGATCTTAGTTTCGTGCGACCTTTCAGTGCTTAGCAGCCAGGACCTCGGTGCATATTCTGGCCACAGTCCTCAGCTTTGTGATCTTGGGGGAACGACGATGCTTTCACAGTTCTGAGCTGATGGCATCCCCGTTGTTTATTTGGTATGACTACTTCAGTTGCCCTCAGCTGGAGATCAAGCCCAGTGACCAAGCAGATTCCGACTTGCAGAAGGCAGTGGACAGCATCCCAGGCTACGTATGCCGCGCAAAGTTCTTTTTCGTGCTGGCTCCCGTGATCGAGCATACTGTGGATGGAACACTCCTCGGAAAGCAGGCGTGGGAAGCATACTATCAACTCTGTGCAGAACTGTCTTCCAGTATCTTCGAGTAACTGGAGGAAAGGTTTGGTTTGCTTGGCTGTTTGCTGGAGGGCTTCAGCGGTATTCCCCCACCCTTTATTTACCAGTGCTCTCGAGAAGAGAGAAGTTTGCCCCTGTCGTTTTTGTTTTGTGAAGAAGGTGGAGAGACGCTGTCTGAGAGAGTCTCTCCACGGAGACGGAGCGGGCCTTGGTGCTCTAAGGGACCCGCTTCCCTTCTGTTTCCATTTGGGAGCGGAAAGCCTCAAACTACCCCTAAACCCTGCACCCAATGGATGAGCCATTGGAGGGCTCGTTGCCGGCGAGCTTGCCGGGAGTGACTTCCCTTCAGGGAGAGATGGGATGCCTCCATGGTATCCGAAGACCACTCACTCATTGAAGGGTCATGGCATTGTTGTGAGAAGGGAGTCCAGCTTGTGATTCGATGGTCAGGCGGTCCATTCGCTCGTTTTGAGGTTCTGCCGCAATTTGCCTTGAACACGAGAGAGGATGATTTGTTTCAACAAGTTACAGGAGAAAGGCATAGAAAGGCATCATCTAGCCATGGGGAGCCCAAGGGGCCCAGACTGTCGTGGGCTCGCCTTCGGAGCATGTTTCTCTTCTCGTTCTTTTGACACGAATGCGGGAAGGAGACCGGTTATGATTGGTTTTGTTCAGGTATAACTAGAGGAGAGACACTCGGTTTGTTTTGAGAGGCTGACTTGCTGGGGAAGTGGTTTTGGGTTAGCCTTTTTGTTCTGGAGACAGGTTCGTGCCGACTGAACGGAGGACAGAAGATGGGTAGGGGCCGAGTGTGTTGCAACGAGGAAGAAGGTTGGGGGCTTTGTTATACAAGGACCCAAGGTGCTGTTTCCCGTTAAACACCATCAAGGAGAGGTTTATTTCGACGCGTTTCTTTGAGCGGTTCCGGCACCGCTCACTCACATGGATGTTGTTATGCCATTCCAGAAGTCTTTGCCCGGCTTCAGACAAATCAATGGGGCGTGCACAATAATTATGCCATCACCATCCTGATCATCATCATCATGGTCATCATCGTTATCTCAATCTCCATCAGGCATGGACAAAATCACAGCAGCCATCAGAGGTTGACGTCTACTCAATACCAGTATCAATCTCAATATCTAGCGTGAAAACACAGAAGTGTGCCACATGAACCGCTCTCGCCACAGAGTACAGGGTGACGATTCAGACAGTGCCAACAGCAGCAACGACGACGACCACCACCACCACCACCACCACGACGACAACGACCACGACCACGACCACGACCACGACAACGAAAAACAACAACAACAACAACAACAACAACAACAACAACAACAACAACAACAACAACAACAACAACAACAACAACAACAACAGCAACAGCAACAGCAACAGCAACAGCAACAGCAACAGCAGCAGCAGCAGCACCAGCAGCAGCAGCAACAACAACAACAACAACAACAACAACAACAACAACAACAACAACAACCCCACCGCCACCGCCACCACCACCACCACCAACAACAACAACAACACCACCAACAACAACAACACCACCAACAACAACAACAAAGAACAACAACAAGGAACAACAACACGGAACAACAACAAGGAACAACAACAAGGAACAACATCAAGGAACAACAACAAGGAACAACAACAAGGAACAACAACAAGGAATAGCAACAAGGAACAACAGCAAGGACCAACAACAAGGACCAACAACAAGGAACAGCAACAAGGAGCAACACCAAGGCAACAACAAGGACGAACAACAAGGAGCAACAACAAGGAGCAACAACAAGGAACAACAACAAAAAAACAAAAACAACAAAGACAACAAGGAACAACAACAAGGAACAACAACACGGAACAATGACAAGGAACAACAACAAGGAACAACAACAAGGAACAACAACACGGAAGAACAACAAGGAACAACAACAATGAGCATCAACAAGGATCAACAACACGGAGGAACAACAAGGAACAACAACAAGGAACAACAACAAAGAACAACAACGGGAACAACAACAAGGAACAAGAGCAAGAACAAGAGCAAGTTCAAGAGGCAGAACAACAGCAAGAACAACAGCAAGAGCAACAGCAAGAACAACAGCAAGAACAACAGCAACAACACCAGTAACAACAACAGCAGCAACAGCAGCAGCAACAACAACAACACCAACAAAAGAAATAATAACAAGAACAAGTACACGAACAAGAACAAGAACACGCACAAGAACAAGAGCAATAGCAAGAGCAAGAACAAGAGCAAGAACAACAATGACAACAAGAACAACAAGAACAACAAGAAGAGCAAGAACAACAATGACAACAAGAACAACCAGAACAACAAGAACAACAATAACAACAAGAACAACAAGAACAACAAGAACAACAATAACAACAAGAACAACAAGAACAACAAGAACAACAAGAACAACAAGAACAACAAGAAGAACATGAAGAACAAGAAGAACAAGAAGAACAAGAGCAACAAGAGCAACAAGAGCAACATAGATACATAAATACATACATGCATACATACATACATCAGGCGTGGAAACGCCGTGGCTGGTGCCGAGTGGAGCGAGTTGCCCGGGAATGCCAGCGGGATTCGAGAATCGTGCATCTTGGACTGCAAATCATCAGAATCCCATCGACTTTCTTGGCTTTGGGTTAAGTGGCTCCTGCACATTCTAAACCCTCAAGCTTATGAACCCTAAAGGCCAGAGCCTAAATCTATAGGTACATTGACAGCCCGGAAATTCAGCACCTCATGGAGCCGTTCGAGAGCTTGCTCGCTCCCGTTGGGGAAGGGGAATTTAGCGTGGACAGTGACAGAGAGCGGGTGTTGAACTTGATGAAGGACATGCTGCACACGCAGTTGCTGGCTTTGCTGCGAACTGGAGATCTACACCGTTACCGATTCCTGCTGAACAGGCATCGCAAGCTCCTGGAAGCTTTCTGTTCGGAAGTTGTGGCTCTGTCGGATCAGCCAAATACCCCTCTTGGCGGCGGCCATGGTGGCAATGGTGGCAATGGTGGCCACGGCGATCCTGTTCTTGCTCGATTCCTGCGGGAGAACGGCTTCCGCGGCCCTTGGTTTCGTGAGTTCGGTTGGACGCCGGTGTGCTTTGCAGCACTGCGTGGTGGAGGTGATCGGACCTTGGAGATCCTGCTGAAGCGCCAGGCAGATGTCAATGAGCACATCACCCGCAGCGACCCGGAGAACCACATCCACAAAGGAATGTCCTTGCTGCATCTGTGTGCGCAGTTTGGTAACAACGAAGCGCTGAAGCTACTGATCGATCAGAGGGCCAACGTGGATGCACAGGACGACGAGGCAGGTACGACGCCTCTCCATCGGGCAGGCATTGGTGACAACCCTGCTGCTGGGTTGGCTCTTCGAGCACATGTTGTTACTGTACATGGTTGATCTGACTGGAGACGATTTAGGAAGAACGTTTCTGACATATTCTGAACTTGCTATAAGTTTGCAAATCCAGGACGGTGTGCTGCTCCTACTCCGGGCCGGATGCAACCCCTACTTGTGTGAAAAGTTGGCTGGCGTGAACGTCCTGTTTCCTGCATGGGCATGGGGAGCGCAACGCGTGACGCAGATGATGCTGGAACAAATTCCGGGCCTGAACATCAGCTGCCTCTTGCACTTTGGTATTCTAGGATGCAGCAACACTCGCGAGTGCATCACAAGCTTGGTTGCAGCAGGAGCAGATGTAAACGAAAAGTTCCGTTTGTTTCCGGGTTGGCTGGATCCGGTCTTTGCGTTATTGGCTGCTTTCTGCCGACGATTTCATGGCAGCACGTTGACCTTCATCATGAGCAATGTCTCTGGGGCTACGCCGCTCGTTTGCAGCCTGATCACCTCCTCTTTCGAGGCTGCCTCTGCACTTTTGGACGCCGGCGCGGATGTGAACATTCGGAATGCCTGCGGAAGCCTGCCCGTTGAGTTGGCAGCTGCTGTGTCGGCCCCAACTTCTCTGCTTGAGAAGCTCACGGAGAACGGCATGAACTTCATGAGCTTGCCCGCCGCAGTTCGTCAAAAGTTGGCTTTTTCTGTTTGAAAATTGCTTGGATTGGAGTGTGTTTGTGTGTGACTCTGTCTGCTCTCGCTGCCTTCCTTGGCCTGTCGACTTACAAAGCTGTCGGTGGACTCAGTACGCCGAAAAGGGGCCTAATTGGATCAGCACGAACATCCTGACTCCGCCCTCCAATTGTGTACAGCCGGTCGTTTGGACGGCGATGCCGGCGCTTCACGATCGACCTGGAACATAGTACATTTTCTGCGAAAAGCCAGAAAACAAACAATCGTCGCGAGTGCACGGGCATGCAGGACCTCATTCAGGGAACTCTGTGACACCGCTTCACCACACATCTTTGAGCGTGACTCCAAGGGACGCGGCTCCTCAAGCCCAAGGAGCCTGTCGAGGCGAATCCTTGCCAGCAGCTAACGACCGAATACTATGTCAGGACTGAGGGGTGTTTTCTCGAACCTCGAAATCGATCTCACTTCGGTCCAGGTTCTTACAAAGCATGTCAGCCCTTTGTGCCAGTACCATGTACCTGGTGGGAATGTCGCAGGTGCCTCCTGCAACCATGCAGCGCCTGGCAGAGCTCTCTGGGGCCCTGCGTGGCATATGCTCGCTGCGGCCCGAGCCATGTGATATGGGTTTGGGTTTTGGGCGCTGCAACAGCCAACCTTAAACCCTAAACACTCCCTAAACCCTAAAACTTAAGCCTTAAACCCTAAACCCTTAACCACTGATTTTTCCTGATCAGGGCTATTCAAGTTACATCGCTTTTTAATATGAATGTTTTTTTATGAATAGTTATCCCTTTTAAACTTCAACTCTTAGTAAAGCGAATCTTCTACTCTAGCCAATTGCTTCGATGCCTACTATTACATTTCTACTTTCCCGACAAATTCTCACGAATCCTCCCACTATCCCTAAAACCTTCGGCTAACTTCGAAGAACCCCCCTCCCCCCTTCCTTGTGTCGTTGTCAAATTCGTGAAAGGCCCCTCTGCTGCCTGCCAGTCTCACGCCCCCATCTGTTTTGCACTCAATATCGATGTCCACGGATGCTGCGGCGTGTTTGTGCTCCTGCCCGTTTCTCCTTCCGTAAGCAACACAGCATGGCAACGGAAACGCTTCAGCCTTAAACCTTAAATGTCCTAGAGAGGCAGCATCTAGACATGTGTGGCCCTTGTATGCCGAAGCACAACACTGTAACGGTCACGGGAGCTTTATGGGAAAGCAGACTTCCTGTGCTCCCTCCATGCCACCCGGCCTCCGTGAGAAGCCCGTCGAAGTTCATACGCTTTGGATAGGCCGCAGGGGAGCCTTCGGGATTTTGGGTTGTCTTCCAGGTCATACAGAACGGTATGTTTTTGGTTCCGCATGGTTCCCTTCAAAGACTGCGAAGAGGATGTCCACTGGGCCTCCTAAGGCTCAGCCAAACCAAGCGCCAGCTAAGCCAGTTTCGTACCGTGCCTCGCCTCACCCGTAGGTTGCGAAAGGACGCATTGGGCATGTGTTACAATGAAGGTGGATGGCATCGAACTCTGAAGTAGCCAACACAGTATTTCTACATGTGCAGGCGAAGTACTGCCGGAATGGGTGCCGCAGTGTGTAGCTTCCTACCTTACCACGGGCCACGTGGTGCACTGGTGGAGCCTCGGGCTGCATGGATTGGGGTCGAGGTTTCCGGTTTCCCCCCTTTTTTTCGGGCGCAGGTTGTCCCAAAGCCTGACATCAACGTGCCACTGCGGGATCGCGGTTTTTGGTTTTTGAGCGCAACGGAGCAGCTTGTTCAACAACCACGTGTCCGGGTGTCCGAAACTTCCGACTCCAGAGCGTTCCAGAAATTCCATAACTGCAAGCGATGCAGTGGGGAATATCCGGAAAATATGCGAGAATCTGCTGCGAGTCCATGGGCTTCTTGGTGCAAGGAGACTTTGCGCCAAAGTTGACAAACAAGTCAGTTTCAGCGTCGCACTTCGCTTGATACTTTGTTGGTTCACAGGCTTTACCTGGAGGAAGAGAGGTCCCGGGACATCGATGCCCTGCGCGCTGGACCAGGTTGGGAACCGTCGAGTTGTAAAACCATCCAGGATCATCTGAGCGCCCTCAGACTTATGGTCCTCTTCTGCTCTCTTGGCTGCCCTTTCTGAAGGCGGCCTGCGGCTGTTTAGCAATCCGCGGTTGCGCTTGAGAAGCTGGGCTATAGAGCGGCCAGAGATGTGACTTGTGAAGTTCAGGCTTTGCATGCGTCTGTGTATACGTACATGCAATACACGCATGGATACGCATTGCAAGGTTGATAGGGCCAGATCAGGCAGATTTCATTGCTTCCCATGCGACCGTGATGTGGCCTTTGCCCTGGCAAGTGCCGGAACTGTCCAGGAGATGCCAACGAGATCATGCCCCACGGTGTGGCAAAGACGATGCATGACTGCAAGTTGAGTGAAGTCCAGACAGTAGCCCGAGTTGCATGGCGACACTCAGTATATGTCAAGTTTATACAGTACAATGCAGGATGTACATATTCGGTTTGCGCGCAAATCCCGGTTCGTTGCTTCAGAATCTGAACCCCCAAACAACCCCCCCAAAGCCCCTTGAAAACTGGAGCCCAGGATGTTTTTCCACGGCATGGGCCCGCATGGCCTCTGGAAAGGCTGGGCGCCTTTCAGCGCCACTTGGACCCGGCTTTGAGGGAACATGGGGGGTTGATATCGGGCTCCCGGCAAACCAGACCCCAAACGAAAACCGAAGAAAGCATCGCCTTAAACCCCAAAACCAGTATCTTTCTTCACCAGGAATCTTCGATGAGTAGGTCCTGCCCAAACACGCGCGATTATACAGTAGAAGCTCCGGAAACAAGTTCTTTGTAGAAGGGAGGACATCTTTGACAGGCATCATGAACATCAAGTGGTCTGAGCCCAAGGAGCATGTCTGGCCTAGGGTTGGTCCCCATCACTGAACGTCCTTTTGGCAAAAAGGATCCCCAACCGTCATGGCGGCAAGCGGTCCAGGAAGATCCCTCCGGCAACTCGAGAGCCTAGAGCTTGAGAGTTCAAGAAAATGGTCAACAGTGTACCCTTAAGATATCGGCCAACGCCTAGGAAAGATGGGGAGAATCCTTTTCCGCATTTATAGTAGTTGACACATGGATTAAACTTGACACCTTACAGTCCAAAAGAAGCCGAGGATTGGTTCCGGTACGAGGTCCTGTCCCGCTTCGGGGGCTGGTGGGTAGATGCGGACAGCGTCAGCGTGCAGAACCTGGGCGTCCTATCTGCGGAGGCTCCTTGGCTCCTTGCAATGTGGCGATTCGGAGATTTCATGAGATTTCGAGAGCCATCAGAGACGAAGGGTGTCATCTTTTGTGCAGCTGCAGCCCTCACGCACAGAAATTCAAACGTGGATTTGGGGGTGATGCAGCACCGGCATGTTTGCAGTTGTGCGCATGCAAAGCTTGTGCATCTCTGCTGCAGTTTGCAGCAGCTGATCATGAAGAGGAGTTCCTTGGCATCTGTGAGGCATCTGAGCTCATCTGCGCGACGGAGCGGCACCGTCGAGACCGACGACGCCTGGGTGCTTTAGCCATGGCGAAATCAAAGGCCGATGGCGTCACACTGGAATTGTACTCCCGAGAAGACCACTGAACTAAGCAAAGGCAGCTGTGATTTAAGCTGCCTGCGGATGCGCGCTCTGTAACATCCTCAACTTGTGCATAGGCGTAAGTACGGTGTGTTCAGGGCATGCCACGGCGAGTTGCACAGCGGGGCATCATCAAAAGCCGACCAAGACAACGAGGACACAGCACGAGGTCACCGAGTTCCGTTTCGGACGGTCACGTCCCATCTCATATGACCAGCCGTGGCAGCCTGCAGGATGCGAGTTCATGTAGGTAGTCGCACATGACGTCCATCATCGTCCATCCCCCCATATAAGTGTCATGACATGCCGTTATTCTCCAGCCAGTTGGGGCTTTCGGAACTATCAATCCGAAACAGGTGCCGAGCAAAGTATCTCGCTGGCGGCGCTACGACGGGGGCAGCTTCAAAGATTGGGCTGACCAGGAACGCTACAGAATGCAACTGTTACAGGATCTCGAGGTTTGGGGCCATCTGGGTACAGTAGCTTCAGCGCTGACTAGCTGGAGACTGCAAGGCTCAAGAGGCTGCAAAACGCAAGGCTTGCGATGTTTATCTTTCCTGTTGTTTGTAGAAAGCAGCTCCTGCACTGCTCGCTGGTGGCCGTTCAACCATGTACAGCCACCAGAACACATCCGAAACTGATGCAATGCAGTCACTGCCGTGACCCAAACCTTGAAGGCCCCAAGCTCCAACATCACCCACAGTGCCAAGAGAACCAAGAGATCAAGTCCTTCTGAGCTGCTTTGCCTGTATGGGGGTGATTTTAGGGGTACCTTATGTAAGCCCCCGTATTGTCTTTGACCCTCAATGCAGGCCAGCGCTGAGGGCCTGGAGCTGTGTCTGCTTTGCAACTGCGTGCTGCGAGCCCCCAAGGGCGCCCCAGTGATGGTGGCCCTGGCAGGGGTGCGCCCGCTCTCTTGGGGTCTCTTGAGCTTGGGATTGTTGTCTTGGATATAGCTTATATAGCTTGGGGTCTTTCATACGTCGTTCAACAAGTCTCCGAGCTGGGCCTGAGCAAGAAGCTTGCAGTTCGACCAGGGACATTCATACTGAAACAATCATAAGCCTTAAACTGGCATCAGGATGCTGACTGGCCGCCACGTTTCCCTCATGACATGTTTGTGATATCTTGGTGGTTCCCTTACAGCTTATGAACGGTCACTGTGTCTTTGTATGCCGGTGGCCCCATGGCTAGTCTTTCCTGGCACGCGTTGATTCCTTCACAAGGGGTCTGTGCTGCTCGGGCAAGTGTACTCGGTCCTTCAAAGCACTTGTCGCTTCCTTTTGTTCAATGTGATCATTGCCTCTGTGAAGGTGATGCGGGAGAGATTGGAACGACTCCTGGTCCAAGGGGAGATAGTGTGGTGCGCTGTTAAGGGTTGATTCGTGGAAGGAGTTATGGACTTTGCACCCTGTTTTTCATTCTCGGCCTTATGCGTTCTGGGTTGGAGATGATGGCTGAACCTGTACCATTTTTGGGCCTGAGCACTCCTAAATACTGGTTCAGCACCTGTGTGCTCGATTGCTCTTCCCCTTCAGCCTGCAGCTCTCGAAACATCGCGAAGCATATGCAGCCCAAAACGATGAGAGCCCTGTGTCGTCGCCGCCGAGCTCCCCATCCGCAAGGCCCCAACCCAAAGCCTCACACGAGGGCTCTATATTGCTGTTATCAGGCTTGGGGGTGCTACTTATGATAATGGAACCCGACTTCACATCTAAGCCCCCCCCAGGCTATGCAGAGCAAGTGCGCGAGCGGGGTATCTCCGGCCCTAATGGTGTCACTGCTTTGAGCTCAGCCAGAGGCTTAGAGAGCTGCACTTCGAGCTCGTGCGGCATAGGATTGGAGGAAAGCAAGTTCGCAGTCTGTGCCGTCCCTGTCCTCTGGGAGTTGCCTAGATGATGCCACCTTGCCACTCTGAGTTGTACTGTTGGGTGAAACTGCTGAAGCTGATTGAAGCTGCTTGAAGCTCCTGCCCGCAGGCTTGCCGACTTCGGTGCGCGCTGCCCAACGGCATGCTTGGCTCCGCGCTGCTGCAGAGGTCGGTTCACAAGGCCCGGAAAAGAGCATGCTATGGAAAACACGTAAAGCGGCTCATCTTCTTCCGGATCCCCCTAGACCCTAAACCCTATAAACCCTAAGCCTTAAACCCTCCGAAGCGCAGCCCCATTCTTTAGATGCAGAGGAACTGGAGCCTCTTCGACTTCGACCACTCCACTGGTCCTTGTTTAATCCTGTTGAGGCGCAGCATGGGTTTAGGGTTTGTGTGCTTGGATGGGTTTGGCCGGGTAGTTTCTCACCTGCGCAAGGTCACAGACCCGGAGCGGATGCACCGAGTGCTGCAGGGGGAGGAGGCCTTGCCCAGCCACGTGATGGCCGTGCACTTCTTCCGCAAGGCCCCGTAGTCGCCGTAGTCCGGTTTTGAGTCTGTCAAGAGCACAGGCATAGGAGTTAAGGAACGATGTTTGTGATGTGTGTGTCCATGGCCCGAGCCGCACCAGTTTTGCCCGAAGTTGGATTCGAGGCCTCTGCTAGAAGAATTACGCCCCCTGATCTGCAACCAGCCTTAGCCGCATTGCGAAGCAAGGTGCGAGATGAGTGGTCTGCAATGGGCCTCATGACAGCAAGCTTGCAAAATGCCCAGGGCATCAGAGTGATGCGTTTGTAGGCAGCTTCACATAAAGAAGTCACCCCATCTTCCAGCAAATGCTGTAGAGTGACATTCGCCGCGCGAATCTGGAGCGTAGGCATCATGGAACCGGCATACAATCACATGCAAAGCGACAGAGCCCACTGCAACGCAAGAAGGAAGGATGGCAATCAAAAGTGGGCTTTAGGGCAGAGCCCTTCTGCTCCGTAGGCGTGTTGTTCCCTTCCATGCATTCGTGGTGCATTGACTCAGTTTGCTGAGGCCTGTCGACTCCAAAGATATCGCCGGTGCTGAAAATGCCAGATCACCACGAGCGTGTTCAAGGCGGGGAGCAGCACCCCCGCCACAGTAGGCCTGTCTGATAAACGGACCTCAGGGGATCCCTGACAGTCACGAGGGTCCCGCCCCCCGAACCCCCAAGACGAAAATCCTGAGCATTCAAACGGTCATGACGATGGTTACGTGGTGTAAATGCTCGCACCGTTAGAGTCCACCAGGGAGTCCACCGAACTGAGTAAGAACTATTTGGTGGCGCAGAGCCATGAGTAGATCCCAAAGCATACATATGATACGGTAAATCATATGTAGGTTTCTCAAAATAATAAGGGCCTTAGATAGCAATTCATGATCGGTTGATTCAGGGTTTAAGGGTTTAAGGTTTTAGGGTGGAGGGTATAGGGGGCTTTAGATGGACATCCACTTCTTGTTCTGACTCCTGCTGTGTCGTTTTCTGACTTGTGCCGGTTTTTCGACTCATTTTCCCGACTCGACAGTCAATCCCCCTCCGTGTTCCGGAGGCACACACCTGCAAGGGTGCAACTTCGAAGATCCAAAGCCTGAGGGCGACCTCCGCCCCGGAGCTGCGCAACCTAATCGGAAGCGGAGCTTTCTCGAGCCTTGGCAGCTTTTGCTCGGTCTGCAAGGTTGCCCGCGATGAAGCTCTCCCGAATATCCAGTCTATCCAGTAGCCAGGTAGCCCCATAGCGTGAGGTCACAGGGACGCAGCTGACACGCAGGAGTTGATAGAGCTGGGCGTGTTTGATGTTTGCTCTGAGGAGTTGCTGGAGAAATCCCGCCAGGACAGCCATTCAGAGAGCTGCAGAGTGTGCTACGACGCCTTTGCAGTGCTTCAGTGATTCATGACTCAAGTCAAGTCTTTGCCAGGACTGCATCTGTCAGCGGGCAAGTGTGAAGCATCGCCATGTGACGGGGCGCTTCAGGAAAAGGAAGACCCAAGCCACCAGCTCGCTTGCCCCTATAGAGATGTGAGTTGCTTTCCCGACATGCGGTCCCAAGAGTCTGTTTGTGCCCACTAGCGTGGCTGAAGAACATGCCTTAAGCTTCTCTCAGGTGGGCCAACGTGACACTGGCGTCTGCAACGGGCCGCTGCCATGCATTTCGGCTCTTGAGGTTCTAGGCGTTGGCAGCTTTGCTGGCCTGAAAGCGTTCCTTAGTGCGTTTCCGTTTCTAGATGTCGTTGGACCATTGCTGTAGTCCCCAAAGTCACTCTAAAACCCTTCTAAAGCCCCCCTAAAACCCTAGAATCCCTGCAGTTCCAGGCCCGACGTGGCGCACGGAGCAAATTTGCAAGCGGCACGTGGGCACGCTGGTGGGAGCCTCAGCTGGGGCTTCAGGGTGTAACGGTCTTGAGGGGCTGAGCTCCGAGTGCGCTTTGGCAGGCTTTTGTGGCTTTGTGGTGTTGTGGTGTCCTGGCTCTTGCAGTTCCATGCCTGTAGGTCTTCAGCCCTAGTGATATTTGAGGTTCAAAGTGACGGCGGGGTTGGGGGATTGATCTCTTGCGTATCTCTACGAAGTTCAGAGGCGGTGGTTGTAAAGCTTGGCAGTAAGGGGAAGCACGGGCCATGACATGCAAGACCATGTACAGTAGCTTGGGCCTGGCTCTCGCTTTTTTTAAAGTTGGACATTCCTGTCCGCCGAGGAGCAGATGCTTCTCAAGTCCGAGCACCTGTCAATCGAGGCAGGAGGACCAGCTAAAGTCTTAAGTATTTTGGGGTTTTACGATATTAAGGGGACCCCTCATATCGACCCCCTATAGTCGGGATCCCCTTATAACAAGGACCCCACGAGGGTACCCTTCTAATATCGTAAGCCCCATTTGGGGATTCCACGATGGTGTGATATTTTGTCCGCTTCTTTCTCTGCCTCGTTCGATTGAAGGTGATGTGCGTGTCGCTGGAGCCATGGGAGCCGCCCCCTAAGTCCGCCGGATCCCACTGCAACATCGGGAAGCGCAATTTGAGGAAAGCTGTTGCAAGCTTTTTGTGGGTGCTGCAGAGTTCGACAGCTGTCTGGCTGTGGCTGTCGTATCGTGGATATCGTCTTAAGCCCTGTAGAGCCGTTTAACGAAAGCTAGCTCCTTGGTGCGTCGTTGTGGTTTACATCTCTCTTGGTGGGTTGCGGATCAGGCTACATATGGGATTGGGACGGTCTTATCTGGTCACCCCCCCCCCCCCCCCCCCCCCCCCCCCCCCCCCCCCCCCCCCCACCCCGAGAGTCGGGTACACCTGCAGAACCTTGCAGCAAGCAGGAGAACAGGAGAAACGAAAAAGAGTTGCATATTGGATTTGCAACCTTGCAAAGCGGAGTCTGGTTGTTCATGGTTGCCGGATGGCTGCGCTCTTACGCACGACGAAAACGCTTGTCTATAGCCCCCGTGGCCCCGATCTCAAGTGCAGTGTCTCGCTCGGCGTTCGCATGTCCAGAGTGACAGGGAGAGGTGGCCGAGACGGCCGGGGAATTTCGGGTTTGTTCAAGCCGCTACAACAGAAGAAGAAGAAAGAGAAGAATAAAGAGGAGAAGAAGAAGAAGTCAGATTGGAACAAATATCCACACCAGAGTTCTGGAGCCCACAAGCTGAAGAGCAACGTCTTTTCTATTCTACCACTCTGGGAGGGGTTCATCACCGTCGCCGATGAAGGCTTGGACGACGAAGGCACATATATGAAGCTGGAAAGAGACCGCAAGTATGTTGACAACATACCGGGTGTATGGCAAGTGCAAGAAGAGGATGTCGTCCCGTGCGAAGCAATGAAGGCCGTTGCGCCCTCGGAGGAAGCCAGTGCATGCCAGGCCGGCAGCCTGACTGCTGCGATGAAGCTTCATGTTTCCCGACAGCTACCGGAACAGGAACGGCAGACAAAGCACAAATTCAAGCCACGAACAAGGGCAGTGCCGTCGCGGCCGGTTCCTCCTTCGGAAGGGGCCCTAAGTGCGCAGAAGAAGAAGCAGAAGAAGGAGAGAAGGGACCCTTTCGGGGGGGCTCTTCTATCTTTGTCGTCAGAAACAGCTCAAAGAGTACGTGTACCTTGAAATGATGCAAGATGAACTTCCTCGTGCCTGTGCTGAGGACCCACCAACTGGTTGCGCTGGCCATGACGGGCCTCATGCTGCTCTTGGGCACGCTCGTTTTGGTGCGCACGGGAAGGGCATGTCTCGTCTACTTGTGCTTATTCTTAATGCATGCATGGGTTCTTGAAATCACGAAAGCTCCCCCTGTGGGAGCTTCGTTCAATACCTCACCAAGTGAGCCTGGGGTTATCGGGGGGGGGGTGCGGGGTGGGGGCATTTTGGTGGGTTTGTTCGGCTATCCCCGGTCTGGTGCAAAACCATCGTTGCCAAGGGGGCCTGTTTTGGGCTAGATTTGGGTTTCTTTGGTAAGTGTTTTTCTGAGACGTTCGAAGGAGAAGCGGGGCCCCCCTGATGCTGCTGATGGTGGCCTGGGTGTGGTGCCTGATGCTGCTGATGCTGGCCGTCTCGTGTCGTGTGCGACAAGAGAGAGAGAGCTACTGGAATCACTGCGCTGGGTATGCTGCAACATGTCAGGGCCTCTCTTTTCCTGTAAGCTCCGTGTCCCCAGTCCTATGCCTACTAGAGCTTTCGTCCCAGCCCGTGGCTCTCAAGTGGTTTGTCAAGCTTCCCTCAGCTAGCCCAAGCAGCAATGACGCATCGAATCGTAGTAGTGGCAGTCTGACTCTTGCGATGGCAAGCTTCAGCATCCCACAAATATAGGACTGCAGGTCCTGAAGTTGTGAAGACCGGCTTCGTCAAGTCATGCTTGCTGCACTCACTCGGCCCAGGGGTGTAAGGGCCTCCTCTACTCAGCTTGGAAACAAGGGAATCGGGTGAGGTGAGCAACATGTCTAGCCTCCCTCGGGTGAATCTGGTGAGCAGCTGGGTCCCCTCGAAGGTTCTATTCAGTAGCTGAATCTTCAGACCAATTGAAGGAACATTGAAGGAATATCATGGATCTCTGACACCAAGTAAAGTTAGAGCTCGCTGACTCGGCACAATTTATCATGTAGGTTAGCATGGATCTTGGGTTGTAGCTTTGCATCTTCACGTCGTCAGGTGGCGCTAAATGCTGCCCGGAGGCCCAGTCCGAGGGAGATGGCCTTTACAGAGCAAGCCGTGTTGGACGAAGGACCGCCCTTGAGAACGTTAAGTATTTGGTGTGGTTTTGGGATTATTGCTGAGATACCCTGAGATATTTTACGGGGCCAATAATGCCATAAGCTGCGGTAGTTTAGCTGGGTGCAGGCTTTGGCAATGAGTGCATCTGAGGCCAGCCGGCCATACTACGACATGTAGCTGCTCAATGTGCTCGCCACAATGAGGCCAGACGCGACTCGAAACACAAGGCTGCTTGTCAAAGTGTTGTTGAGCCACGAATTTGTCGCAAGCACTTGTGTATAGAACTTGTTTAGCCCAGAGTTTAGCTTGACAAGTTCTATAACAATAGCCGTCACGTAATTTCGATCTTCGCTATTCAAGCCATTCTCGGTTTGTTGTTTGTTGAGCAAAAGGGCAACATGCTGGAAAGCATCGTTATATCCTCAACGTATTCACGTGGAGGGGCAGGCTAAGAGGGCCAACCAATGGTAGACTGGTAGTCTCCGGCCGCAGAGGCCTGCATCATTGAATGTTAGAGCTTGCACTTCCGCAAAGTTAGGAAAACATCAGGAACATGCACTTAAGTGCATGCAGCTGAGGTGCACGCCCACCTGGCTCAGCGAACCGGACGCGGCACCAAGGTCCCAGACTCCTGTGCACCATGCGCGAGGGTCAATGGTTCAAGTCCTGCGCTGGCTGCCCTCAGGCTCTTGGACACTTACCTTGTCATGTCAGCCCGCTCTTCAAGAGGAAGGAGGCGCGCCCTGCGAAATGCGATGCGCAAGGGAGCCATCGTCTGAGTCTGGCTGGGTCGGGCCTCGCATGAGCATGTTTCTGATACCAGTGAGCTACAACTGAGCAGTATTGAGTACCTGCTGCAGCCGGATGTCTGCAGATCTTACTGCTCAAGGGATCTGCAATGCTGAATTGGTGGGTGGGTGGGGGGAGCGGTCCACTTCACTAAACATTGCATATGGTGTCTGTTTCAATTAGGGCTTAAGCGTTGCGTCGCCAAGCAGGGACCCCACATCTACCCTTCATTGCCATTGCCCTGACAGTGCGCATCCTTTCCCTTACCCTCACGACGTCACGAGACGCCAAATTTAAAAATGGACTCTCCAGACCCGTCTGGCTCAGTGCCCGCGTCTTTGACCGTGGACTCCAACGTAGAGCGAGCCCTGGGCTTCATGAAGACTGAGGGCAGGTGCAGCTTATACATAGCTCATACACTAAAGGCGCAGTACTTCGATGTGCTTAGTGCTCTTTTGGTGCTCTTTGATTTCTGCATTTTTTGGAGCCCAGGACTGGCAGAGTCCGGCGTCTTGGTGGACATCAAGGATGACCTGCGCAGACTGCTGGGCCTCTGTGGCTGGGAGTGATTGTTCTTTCAGCTTCCGCTGCCTTGCAGTCTCGGGATGTTTTGACAAATCGGAAGCTGTTCGCTCGTTCCAGGCCCGCGGGTGGATCTGCTGCTGAAGACCATGTCCAGCATGGAAGGAAGCATCCGTGCGCAGCGCGCGCAGATGGAGGCCTGGGCCTGAGTGTCAGCAATCTGACATCCCTGCACGTTATTTCTGAGGAGGTTTGGCAGCTGATGGCCACCACGCGGGGGCACAAGAAGCAGCGCAAGGCGTGCTGGATCGTAGGTGCTTGCCTCAGAGTCCGGTCTTGCAGCACGAACGCACAGACACAGGAGCCTCGAAACCCTCGCAAACCTGTCACTGGCGACGATCTTCCGCAGCAGCTCGGCTGAGTTCGGAGCAGTTATGGACTTGTGATCAAAGCAGGTGCTCGCTCGATGGCGGGCAGTGAAGGCTCTGACAACACACGTAGCTAGGCTTGCTGACAGCAGCTCGCGTGTCGAGACGCTAAACTGGTTCCCAGCTCCATCCCCGCCGTGGTGACTTCTGCGAGAATTCAGGGCGCCATTACAAGGACCCGAATTCTCGCGAACGAGCTGTCCCTGTTTACCCATGCTTATTATGTTCGCCTTCTCGTTTTGGCGCAATACCCCTCTCCATTTTCAGATACTCATCGGAAAAGCACAAAAACTCCACGCCACATTTCAAGGGAGCCCCGGCCACAATTGATACCCAAGAGTTAATCTCAGCTTGCCTCCAATCCCGGTCCTCGCCTGGTGCCGCAGCCGAAACTACAGCTTAAAATGTGCGTGTTAAAGTGCATGGTAGCCGCAAACGTCCTTGTCACACATCAAGACGTGAGTGGCACGCTTCTCAGCTGAGAAAATCAGTCTACGATGCACGAAGTCCTGCCATGTATCTGGAAGAAAGCCAAGCAGATCCGAGAAACACATAGAACGACAATAGGCCTGGACTTTCCAGTCACTTCTTCATGCCGCAGACGAAACAAGACAGGAACGACATGCAACAGAGAATGACATACGAGCTTATCAAGCTTCACTTGGCAGCTTCCTCCGAAAATTGTCATCGTTGATGCAGGCCTGAGGCTGAGCTGCACAGGGCGATTCGGGCAGAGAACACGTCTGCGGGGAACTGAAGGTTAAGCTGCGCCCCTTCTCAATCTCAGGGGCGTAGGCGAAGTTGATGATAAGGTGGAGGGCCGATCAGGCTACCAACCGCTGCTCCACGCTGTCCAGCATAGCCGAACGCACGTTTCCAACAGTCAGCTGCCACAGCAACCTTGCTAGGGGCATGCCGAAGGTACAGCTTCAAGTTCCATTGCTGTCAGGAAAGATTCCACGGTTGGATCGCTGGACTCTTTGCAGGAAGGTGATGAAGAAGGCGCTGAGATTCCGGGTTTGGTCACCCATGTGCGCACCTTCGCTGCGATTCGTTGCCTTCAGGGTTCAAAAGTCGAAATCATTGTTTGGACTGTTTTTTTGCGCAAGATGGTCAGTTCTTCTGTAGGCAGGGTATCGCGGGAGGGAGCATATAGGCATGGCCGATGACAAGCAAGGCAAGGATACGCACAGGGTTTCCCACCGAGGAAGTAGCCCTGCGAGCTCTGCACAACCTTCGGAGAGGAAAGAAGGAGTCCCCGCATTCCAGCTGCGTCCGTGCTCTGGCATTAAACATATTAAACTGGGCTGGCAAGACGGTGCATGGTCCAAGGAGGGTCCAACACCCCCATGGAAATTTCTGCCGAGGCCGCGACAGAGGCCTCGTGTCTCGACCGAGAAACGCAGAGTCAGCTCCGACTTGAACTTGGGGCATCAGCTCCACTCCAAGTCTGTCTCCATCGAAAGCTGCGACGAATCTTGGCAAGCTTGTGGAGGCGAACAGCAAGAGACATAGGGCTAGGATCTTTGCAGCTGCTGTAGGATGCCAAAATGAAGCATGTCAAAGGCTTCAATCTTCAGCAACGTAGGACAGGAATTGTCTCAGTGACGCCTTAGACCTTGAAGCCACACTCCTCGCACGAGCTTCCTCTCGACTGCAGCTATGCCATAGCTGCCATAGCCTGTGTTCCAAGGAGCCACTGTGTGATCGCAGCATCCGCGGCAAGATGGACGAGTTGGAACAAAGGACGGCTCAGCACCTCCAGCGAAAGTTTCGAAAAGCCGTCATCAAGAAGGACGAGAACGTGGAGGCCTGGGCAGTCTGGGTTCAGAGATTCAGAGCTGTGCCAACGAGGGGGCCAGAAGCAGACCTGGCTCGAAGAACGCAAGTGGGCTCGAAGAATGCAAGTGGGCTTCTTCCCAAAGTAGGATCCCTCCCCTCCGCCCCAAGAAACCCTGTTATTTTATCATGGATTGTATACTCCGCAATCTAGGACCTTCCAACAACGGTACCGTGATTCTCGGAAACCTCCCAGCTGGCGCCCTACGATGCTTTCTTGGCCCCTTTGTAGGAGGAGGCCCATGACATGGCTGATGCTGGAACCAAGAGGTCCAAGTCGGACAAAGTAACAAGGCTGCGCTCAGCGGCTCGGCATATCGCGGCATGCCATGCCCTCGATCGTCATGCACGTTGTCACCTCTGGCTGCCTTAAGATGTCAATGTCGTGAAGGGTTGTTTTTGCAGCCCGAGTTTGGTTCCGGGACGCTTCAGAAGCAGAGTACTTCTCTCGGCCCAGGTGACTTTGCAGAAGCAAGTGAATGGGCAACTGACTGGAGCTGCTTGCTACAATTGGGCTGAAGTTGTGCTGCCACCCTGCCACCTACAGTCTGGAGAAGTGCTGCACATGCAAAGGATGAGAAACGGGAAATCATGAAGAAGTGCCGCAAGCTTTCACTGGACGATCTGCGGTACAACTGTGATGCTGTCGTGGTGCGCGCCAGCATCGACGAGACCAACTCAGGTACCTTGCATGGGCCAGACTGACAGACGGCAGTCATGACTGTTGCTCAGACTGTCAAAGTGATCCTGATACCAAGGAGTGCACAACATCAAAAGCCCTCAGAGCACCAAGACCAGGCTGAATGATGACGATGTCCCTTCTGCCATGTCCTGCATCGGCCGGTTCCTGCTTGCGACGCTCGGACTTGTGGATGTCGGGAGCAGCACCTCAGCTGAAGTCAGGTCGAGAGTCCAGACCATGCTCTACACACATCCTAATGGGCTGGACGAACACAATGAAAGGCCCCTTACCATGAGAGCCAAAGACAGCCCCCAAACGCCCAAACGCATTGGCTCCATGCCCTTGCACCTTGCACCAACCCTGACTACCCGCATGCTGCGCATGCTCAACTCGCTGTTGCATCTGGAGTCAGGTAGAGCCTGGGGGGCTTTGGCGGTTGCCAACATGTTTCTCCCAGCTGCTGCGCTTATTCCGCTGGTTCATGTGGCTTTAGAGATTGACGCAGACCCGCGTCATGCCAGCAACAGTTGGATTCTCATTTCCGGGTCTGGAAGGATGTCAAACGGCCAGGCCACTTATGTTCCCACTGAAGTACCATCAGTCGCAGGAGGCATTCTTGAAGGGGACTAAGTAATGACCAAGGTTTCGGAAAGTGAGTTGCTTGTGAGAACACCCATAAGCCGAAAAGTGCATAGCATGGGCAGAAGAACCCAGTAGCAAGCCGCGGCTTGCGTCAATTGTGCGGGAATTGATCTATGTTAATGCCGAAGGACTCCCAACGGGGACCGATTCCCAAAAAAAAGAGACCCAAATGCGACGAAGGTTTGTTTGGATATCCGGCAGCTGCCTTGCAGTTGGCGTTGTCCTAGCAACGTGCAATCTGCGGCCACTCCTCAGCAGCATATGCTTTGAGAGCTTTCTGAGAGAAATCGGTTTTTTCGAGTCACTTGCATCAAGCGGCGGAAGTCGCAGAGTGAAGAGGGCGAAGAGGGAAGCTATTTCGAGCTGGATACAGGATGCACTTTTACAGGGATTGCCCGCGTTTTGCCGTTGAGTTCAGGCTTTGTGGAATCCACTCCGTGCTGGGGCCTCGAGAGAGGTCATTGGACACGTATGCGTTCAATGCCGATTTCCTCCCAGAGTGGCGCAACTCCAGCCTGAGTTGAGCATGAGTCATGCTTTGCCTTATCTTGCTCTCATGCCATCCTTCGTATTCTGTCGGTGCAAGCAAGATGCCAGGCAGAGAGTCTCGTTCACGCTTAGTTGAAGTGGCGCTCGTTTTCGCAGTCAGTGCAGCTGTAAGACTGACACTTGCCAGCATTGGCAGCGCTGATGCCCTAACGAACGTTGCACGTCTTGGCGTGGTTGTGTTCATCTCTTTATGCACCGTCGTTCGTTGAGCTGCCACGTGCAGGATTTACATTTGGATGGCTGGCACCTGGCACACCTATGATCTTGGCGATGCCCCGGTCAGCT